TACACTGGGGAAGCGTCTGATACGATCTGGTGCTTAAAAAATTCTCCTAGCTTTCTCTCAAATTTCGATCTTGTCTGCCTCCTTGAATTTCTGGAGGATGAGGTGATGCAACATTATTGCCAGACTGGACCTGAGTGGGGCATCTAACCACATGGTGCTAAAACCTGACAAATGCCTCCTCAAAATCTTGATTCAGAGTACGGAAACCTTAAACAACAAATATATAATATTAGTGTCTCCACAAGGCATCAAAAAAAACATCCAAGGTCTTCATTTCGGTATCATTTGATTGATTGAATGAACTGTGAAGTAAATATGAGGCACAAAATAAAAAAATAAATAGACACATTTTAAATCCATGAGATGGGATAAAAAGTACCTTGAAGTCGCATCCAAGCATGCATCATCTCGGGCTAGTTGACACGGTAAGTAATCTGTGTAAACAGAAATTTCCAATCGCGATCAAACACCCAGCCAATAATTACAATTGCAAAAACCGTACATTCATGACTAGATAAAAATTGCAGAACTAATGCAGCAAGGTCGAACACATAAAAGGAAAGAGAAATGTGGAAATGCGCGAGACGTACAAACGGTTTTACAAATTAGTCTCATCTCATATCAACAATTAAGATTGACAAGCATGTATAGTGTGCAGGAGCACGTGCGTGTGCTGGTGTGGGTGGGTGCCTGGCTGGGATTGATTTTCCTTTAATGACTCTAACAACCTATTTGCAGCTAACCATGGCAAGAAGTACGATAGCATCATCCAACAAAATAAGTAGGCCATTCAAACTGTCACTCCATTTTAGTATTAGGGGGCAAGACAAATAGAAAATGTAAACATCTCATGCAATCAAAATACCAAGTAATAGAAGTTCCTTTCTGTAGGCCCATAACATTTCATGTCTACCAGATATGAATCTCCCATTATCTCATCAAGCGAAAGTTATTGCCATCACAACCCTTTTATTCCCAATTCCACAACATTTAAGATTAGAGTACATTTTTTTATATTTTAAATTATTTGTAAATTCTCGAGTGTTGTGCAGATCACCTACCTTCTACTACAAATTCTAAAGAGAGTTAAATTACAATACCTTGGAAGGCCATACAGAATCAGAATTGCAGTCACCTCACAGCGTCGTGACAGTTGTACGGCTCTGTTATCATTCCATGGGTATGCTTCCTGGCCCAAGCCTTGTTCGCCTTGAATCTGGAGATTTTCAGGTTATTAAAACCTCAGGCAATTATATATATAAAGTCCAGCACCAAAGAAAGCAAAAGTATAAATTCTTACTGTGCTGATAGTTTGTTCCTCAGAAAGGCAGAGCCCTCTGGTTCTCGGCATGTGATAATGGCCCTAGCCAATACAAAAAAGAATGTCCAGTTATAAAATTTACAGAAGAAACAAAATTGTTAACAAATAGCTAATCTACAATGACGAAGAGTACCAAAACACATAATAAAACAACATGTGCAAGCGCATATCTGTTGGTTTGTTTCTCTGAATTTGTATCACATAATTTAATCATGTCGATTTGTATGAGCGTGAGTACAAACAGAACAATATATTTAAAGAGACTTATTACATGTAGTAGTTATAGTCAAACAGTATGATTTACTAGATCAATTACAATCTAGGAAAAGATATAAGCGTTTTAAAACTTAAGCAGTATAAGAAATAAGACAGGTCTGCTCAACAATATAAATATGCCAACCATGTACTATTCAAAATTATCCTACATGTCACAGTGATAAGAAATTTAAACTTTCTCTACATACTTCTTTCTCCCTCTCTTCATCTTCAACTTTAGAGTAGGGAACTTGCTGCTCCAATTTCATATTTAAGCCTTCATAAAATTCTGTATATCAAGTAAAGGGGTTGGCATGCATTGGTATCCATGATTGAAGAGTCTAGACACTCTAGGAGAGCCTCCGTCCATCATAAGGGCAACGATCCAGTTTCGCGTGGCGCATATTATGCACAGAGTATCATGCGTCAAGTTTTATCAGAAAAATCAAGCAATGCTTCCCTTTAAATGCTAACAGAACCTGTTCTGAATGAAGATGCATATATTTCACTCAGACTGACCTCCATTCGTTCACAGCTGCAGCATCTTGGAGTGCCATCAGTTCATGAGAAGGGCAGTACTCTGGGACCAAAAGGGTGTGCCCATACTCAATAAGACCAGCAGGGTTTGTTGGGATTGTCAAAAAAATATAATCCAGAAAGACCAAGGATGATGAGTGTATTACAGAGAGAAGTGCATTTACATGTTAAATTTAACATCTCAAAAAGGGAAATCAGAACTTGAATATGAAGTGCATAAATGAGGTTTTCATAATTTCCAAGAATCTATGATGAAATATCCCAATGTTGCTTATGAGGTCAAAAACCATCTTATTCTATAACAAGATGATTTCTATTATGAACACATGCATTGAACTGACATTTAAAACAATTCTACATCAAAAAAATTAGCTGAGAACTTGGTTGCTAGTAGGGATCTTCACATATATCTGCAATCTGTTCTTCCATTGGCCATTTCTAAGTTATTAGAAGGACAAAAAACTTAAAACAAAAAATAATAAACAGAATATTTTCTTCGTAATGAGACAAACTTACAAAATGCTTGCAAACATCACATTTGGATGGTACTGCTCCTTGTAGCACAAATTTATGATAAGGGTAATTCCAGACATAGAAAAATACAGGAAAATGAACAAAAGAAACATTACACCATACATCACATACTATAAGAAACCTACAAAAAAAAAATAAATAGAAAAAATATCAGTCGAAACAAGTACTTTAGGATACAATTAGGATAAAATTTTCACCTCATATCAGAAATTGGTAGCTGACAAGCATGGCAACGGAAACATTCTGGATGCCAATATGCATTAAGGCAATTCAGAAATCGTCCTTGACCAATCTCAGCATTGCAACCAGCACAGATCCTACCCAAGAAAGATATTCTTAATCATTTTTCTCGCATAAGTGCCTGAAGGAGATAGCAGTGAATAGTAAAGGAGTGGGAGCCACAGGAAATTTAGGATACAACAGCAGACAGTACCAAGTCAAGAATGGTTGAGGCCAAAAAAAGCAACCACATTATCCCTCACAAACATCCTTTTCACCTAGAAGGGTTTTGGATCAAATTTTTCAAAATCTAAATCCGGGTTCAAGTTTCATAACTGGCACACTCATGCAAAGAATCGTTTACTTATTTTTTCCAGAAATACAAAGCCTATCAGCAATTAGGACCCTTTCTAAAATCACTCATCCATAAGTGCAAAACCAAGGTGCATCAGATTACTGGTATTAGAATGAGTCGTAATTGATCACATAACTCATACATACCTGTACCCTGTTGGAAATTGGAGTGGCATGGGGAGATACGGATGTCCATTTCCATACCTAGGAGGAGATTCAAAGTTCAAGCTTTCTTGTATAGCTCTTGCAAGTTGTTCATCCTTTCCAATGAGATCCCCTGTCTATTCAAAGTATTGTAAAAAAATTAATAAATTAACGTAGCACATTCAATTGTAAAAATATAGAAATTACTCAACCTAGTTGCCTAATGCCAATATGCTGCCATATATATACATCCAATGTTTGGCAAACTAACAACCCATAAAAGTAATTTCCAAAATAGGAATGAAGAAAATGCAAATAAATTATATTCCCATAGACTATGATTGCTCAACAAATTTGATGAAGCGGTGATGCATGGCACAGACGAGTTCAACATATTGTCCACAGAAACAGATGGATGCAGTGATTGGGCTTTTAATTTCTTAAACAACTGGAAGTTCTTCCTCAGTTATTTCCAGTCACAGGATCCAGAGAAAAGAGAAAATGTCACATTAACAGACGAGAGCACTTATAATAACATGTAATCCATATACTCACCAATCACCCTTTCTCCTTTTGACTTTCTTCTACGAGGGATAGTGCAATGGCACGATCTATATCTTATTCTCTTGCTCGGACCACACATCTAAATTTGAGATTCCCGAAAAGTTATATGTTGAGTAAGAACATATCAGACATCTAAGTATCTAACTAGCCGAAGCAGTAAAGAGATATTACTAGATGCAAGAAGCATGCACAAGCACAATGAAAGGACAATTAAATCCCATTGAAAGATTATAAGTATGAGATGTAAAAGAAGGAATGTATACTTACCCCTGAAGTTGAAGGCGCATAGGAATTGGCTCCTCCCATGATTACCACGATAATGCCCTTCCGAAATTCTGTGGCTGGAGCCTTTAAAAAATTGTTAAGCCAACCCATAATGTATGTTATCTGCCCATAGTCAATGAAGTTTTAACTGTTCATGAGCAAATCAACAAAATAAAAGAAATGAACAGAAACGAAGGACTAAACCCTTGAATATTTCGATAAGTCTAAGTGATCACACAACCTTTAAACCTAAACCTAAAACCAAAATGTCGTCAACTATTGAAAACCATAAAATTTTTTTTTTTTACAAGTGAAAATTAAGAATGATAATTAACTCATGGGACCGAGAAAACATCAGAAATTTTCCATCAGATGAACATAGAAAAATCAAGCTCAGATAGCATAAGAAGAAAAGTTGAAGCAAAAAATCTCAGGCAAGCCATCCATGTCTATGAAACTAAAGCAAATTTAGTTAGAGACGATTGAGAAAAATAAAAACCATCAAAATATAGAATACATGACGATATAGGGCTATCATAACTGGAGTATACTTTCCATACATTTAGACAATCTAAATTTCATATCCATTTCATGCACAGTCAATTCCCACATTGGAGTAGGGCATTTCTCTTGAAGCATAAGAAAACAAAACTCTAAAAATAAAATAAATACAGCACCAGGCATTGTGTTGCCCAGAAGGTTAGAGCCACAAAGGAGTGAAGAAAGATCAATAAGTTGTCACAAGCTCAAGATATATATGAGATAGAGACAGAGATTTTCCAGCTCACCATGCCACACATTCCCTGACAACTTAATTTTATCACATTTTAAGAAATTTGGCATACATGTTGACATCATTTTCTGCAAAGAAAATAAACAGCACACCAACTTGATGCAGATGATTGCTATATATAATAGAATGAAGAATATTTACAGATTCCAAACAGTTTAAGCATACAGATAAAACTTGAAAGAGAAAGCCATTTTCTACCTTTGCACAAGAGCAAGAGTGTGAGCTGATTCATGCTAAAAATAGTTTCACACTCCCAAGTTTTAGATTGGTCATGCTAAAAACTTGTTCATACTCCCAAATTAGTTCCAATTATAAGAAAAAAACAAGTAATTAGGCTTCCAAACTACCTTTTTCTGACATAGCACTCAGCAGCCAAATTTTGGGACCAAGCGAATGATTATATCCTGCACCATGTGAATCATCTTTACTTGGGGAATCTTGCAAACAAGAAGTAAACACATCTGTGCTTCTGATGCACATTACCTGTGGTCTTGATGATCAATGAGAAGTACATGGGCCTCCTGTCTCAGAGCTTGAAAGTCCAAAGGCAATGGCCAAACTCAAAATCATCCCCACCAATGACATAGTCCATTGATCATTCATCAACAAGCAGCTTGAGAAACATCATATGAGTCAGGCAAAGCAGCAGACTCTGTCATCTCAATTGGTTTATCATAGACAACACTAGATGGGAAACAACTGAAATACATCATGTTATGAAGCTTAGAGATCTTCTTCACATCTCCGCATTTAACAGAACTGAGGACCAACTTAGATAACATGACAAGATTTTGATCCACACCTAACTTAATCATCTGACCTAAAAGCTTCATTGATTCTTCTCTATCTCCTTGCTCACAAAGTGCTTTTATCAAGGTAGAGTAGGTAATAACGGAAGGAGCAATCCCTTCTTTAATCATTTTGCATTTCAAATTAAAGGCCTTTTGGGTATTACCAGTTTTACAGTAACCATCAATCAGAATATTATAGGTTATGACATTAGGGGCCAACCCTTTCAGGTGAAGTTTGTGGAAAAGCCTCAGTGCTCGGTCCAGTTTTCCTGATTTACACAAACCGTTTATTAGAGCATTGTATGTGGCAATGTTTGGAACGAGAGCCCTTTTCAGCATTTCATCCCGTAACTTGAAAGCTTCAGTGACATCACCAGCAGCTGCATAGGCATGAATCAGGGTACAGTAGGTAAAATTGTCTGGAGTAAAGCCCGAAAGCAACAAAGCTGAGAAAACACTTCTTGCATCATCAACCTTCCCAGACTTGCAGAGTCCGGCAATAGCTATATTGTACACCACATTGTTGGGCATATCAAAACTTTTGGCACTTTCATCAAGGGAGTCGGCAATTTTCTGAGCATCCAGACTAATAACATCGGTCTTGAGGAGTTTGAGATTTGGAAAAAGATCAAAATCCACAATTTTCAGCAAAAGCATATTTGCTTCATCAATCCTACCAAGTCCAAACAGGGTGCTAACAATTTTGCTGCACATAATCACATTTGAGGCAAATCCCTTCTCTGTCATCTCGAAATATGCAGTAAAAGCTTTATCCAGCATCCCTACATCACACCAACCAATAACAAGGGCCCCATAAGTTACAGCATTAGGTGATAAACCTGAATTCTGCATTTCAGCAAGAAGATCCACCACTATACTTAATTTCCTAGACCTAAAGGCTCCACTAATAAGAGAATTATACATTTCAATGGAAGGAAAAACCGCTTCCCCTTCCATTACATTTTTAATCTTAAAAGCTTCTTCAATATTTCCAACTTTACAATAGCCATCACTAAGGATTCTATATGTTACTTTGTCAGGCAAACATCCCAACTCCTTCAACCTGTCAAAAATCTGCTGTGCTTCAATCATTTTTCCCATCTTACATAATCCATTAATCATTGTATTGAAAGCAATTGTGTTTTTGGAGAAACCCCTGGCTAATATATTGTTCCAAAGTCTTATTGCGCCATCGAGATCTCCCATCTTGAACAAAATGTCAAGCAGAGTACAATAGCCAACCACATTAGGAGACACACCTCTTTTCAACATCATACACCACAGGTGCAAAGCATCATCAAATGCATCCACACGACACAAACCTTTGAGAAGAGTATTATAAGTAACAACAGTAGGAGGGATTCCTTCACGAAGCATCTCATCACAAAGCTTGAAGGCCTCACTCATATTATTTAATCTGCAATACCCATCCAGTAATGTATGATAACTGAACGAATCTGGCCTTAAGTTCCAATCTCCCATACATCTTAACACTCGTTTTGCTTGACTAATTTGACCAAGTTTACAGTGGCCATTAATTAAAGAGTTACAAATAAGCAGATTCATCTTCAACCCTGCCTTCAGCATCTCATTCCGAACCCTATTAGCATCGTCAACTTTACCTACTCTACAATACCCATCTATCAGAACCCCATAAGCACATTCATCGACAACAATATCCTGCTCATCATTCATCCTTTGAAGTACCTTCTCGGCTTCCTCCATCTTACCTTGTTTGCAATAACCCTTAATCAACAATGTATATGAAACCACATTTCTCGAAATCCCCTTTTCACACATCAACTCTAACACCTCTTTTGCACCCTTAATATCTCCTAAACCAACATATCCATCCATCAAACTATTGTAAGACACCACATTCAATTCAAACCCCAGATTCTCCATTTCCTTCACGAACTCCACAGCCTTTTCCACCCTCTTCTCCTTACAATACGCATTAACCATTATTGAACACGTAAAAACATCGGGCACAATCCCAACTCTAATCATTTGCTCATAAACACGCAACGCAACATACGTTTCATCCCTTTTAACCAAATTACTTAACAAAGAATTACAAGACCTCAAACTTGGGACACGGCCATACTTTCCCATATTATCGAACACGTGCAATGCATTCTTTAGCATGCCTCTCTCAGCATAAATTTTCAATATCATATCGAAAACAAGAGGCGAAAATGTAAATTCCTTATAAACCTTAACGAGCTCATCCCAAATTAAGAACCCTGAATAATTATTCCGACATAAGCCAACCAATTCGTGTAAACACTCTCGGGTTTCATCGTACATTCGAGCACGTGACAAGATGTGAACAATCTTGCAATAAGACTTAATACTTGGCCTGAAATTTTGTTGCTTTGAAGCTAATTCAAAAAACCCCAAGCAAGCCTTAGGATTTAGTCTTAGTTTCTGCAGCACTGAATCGAGGAGATCATCTGAGTAGTCAAAAGAAAGGTTGCTAAGGGCCTCGTAACGACCCAGGACAAGGATACGAGTAATCCGTTCGATCAATTCGGGTTGGCTTAGCTTGTATTCGTGGCGGGGCTTCCAGTGGAGGAAACGGCGCGCGTGAAGACGAGAGAGATGGTGAAGAGTGGAAAATAGAGAGTACCTGAGCATTGCAGGAGAGAAAATTTTGATATTGTAGTTGTTGTTGAAGACACTGCATCTTAACATCGATAAAATTATCAGCCATTAGTTCTGAAGCAACGAATGCATTTTGAAGGTGCTTTGGGGACGATGAGTGGAGCAAGTGAAATGGTGCTGTGTTCTTACTAAACGTTTGTTGCTGAGAGTTTACATATCGTTAAGCCCGTAAAGGTAGTTGAGTTCTTGTTCTTATTATGGGCCTCATATTCTAGGACCCATTGCCCACCTAAACACAAATTCCTGCATCCACTAAGCCCACTTACACAACAGAGCCTTGTGACCAATAGAAGAGGGAGACATGAGAGTAATTGACACGGGAGATGACCGAAGTTTGCTGATTACACATCTGTGATGCTCAATCGTCAACATATATTGAAAATTATTAGGTCCCTTTTCCACTTTTCATACGGAGATCTTTCTTCTTTTACCGTCTAAGAAGGTTTAACTGGTGTGAATTGGTCAGTGGTCGATGGAAAAATAAGGCTACATCAATGCAATGGTCATCCTTGATTCTTCCAGGAAATTTCCTTCTTTTCTACTATATCTGCACTGTCAACAGCAAAAGTTAATCAAGGAGATAAGTTAAATCATCCACTCACTTTCTATCCATGAAGGGTCCAGAAGACTCGGGAATTAAAGCAAACCAAAGACTTTCCTATCACTTTCCGCTAATCAATAAATCAACAACCATCTGTGTAAGATAGTCATCCTCTCAAGTATCGCCCATCACTTTTGGAAAAGCAATCTGCATTGTTATTTAATGCCTTAAACCTTTTAAGCATATATCCGATTACCACGCAATTTCTACCAAGACTCTTCCTGGCTTTTAGTCTCCAAGTTGTGCAAAGGTCCTCGTCCTAAGGGGTAAATCGTAAACTTATGCTATCTTTTTTTCTTCTATATATATAACCATACATTGTTCTTTGTATCTGAAAACCGGTTAATAATGGCAGCTGGTAGCTCCAAATGGTTTTCCAATAAGAGTTTGAAGCTTATAAGACTTCCTGGTCTGCGCTCAAAATCCAGGTCCTCAACCTCAAGCTCTACAACATCATCTCCCCTTGTTTCACAAAAAAAAAGCTCCAAAGAAGAGCAGCTTCAGCAAGTATTTCGCCACTTTGATAGTAATGGAGACGGACTGATTTCATGCGAGGAACTTCAATCATACTTCGAGTCTGTAGGTGAGTCCGTGTCTCATGATGAAGTTGAAAGGGTTATCAAAGATTTTGACGATAATTGCGACAACTTATTAGAATTTCAGGAATTTGTCCGATTAGTGGAAGGTAATAATAAGGAGGCAGATGATGATGATCTTAGAAGAGCTTTTCAGATGTTTGAAGCTGACAAGGGATCGGGGTGTATTACACCAAGAGGATTGCAACACATGTTAAATCGTTTAGGAGATGTGAGATCACATGAAGACTGTGTTTCAATGATTCGCGTCTTTGATCTTGATGGCAATGGAGTGCTTGATTTCCATGAATTTCGCCAAATGATGGCTTCCTCTTAACAACTCATTCTACCGTCTTTAGTTCAGGAGTTTTATGTTAATCATATCAGTCTCTACCAGGGAACGTGTATTTCCATATATTAATAGAAAGACTGATTACTCAGAATGGTGTGTTTGGTTTTGGAAATGTTATATTACTAAGGAATATTGTATTACTGTAAAGATAGATTATTAGGGAATCTTTAGAGAAATGTGTTTGATCGGTTAGAATAAATTAGTGAGTATGTTATAATAATATGTTTGGTTGGGGAAATAAATGAGTGGATATGTTATATAAATTATTAGATTGTCCTCTTTTTAAAATAATAATATACTATTATTTTTATTATTATTTTATTCTATTATTTTTTAAATTATTTCTTTTAACCCCTCTATATTTGAAATTTTACTAAAACACTCTAACCATATATAACTTTAATTTATAGCAAAATCACCCCCATTCATCCCAAGCCACCGCTGGTAGTCGCCATAATGGTGCACGACCGATCGGATCTAGCTGGTGTGCGCCGATAAGGCCTAATCCGACCAGATCTGGCCGTGAATATGACTGTTTCACGGTTAAATCTGGTTGTGGAAAGGCCAGATCTTTGGTCATGAAACGGCGACCATTTCATGGCCAGATCTATGGTGTTTCACAGCCACATCTTTGGCCGTGAAATGGCCAGATCTGGTCGTGAAATGGCCATGGATCACAAATCCATGGCCGAAAATGTCCTTATCAGCATACG